TATGAAAAATATACAAAATAAAGCCAGGGGGTGCAAATATCAAGTCAGGGGGTGTGAAAATAAAAAACAGAAGGCCCAAGGCGCCAAAGGCCCAGGACAGTCATCCCTGTCCTCCAGCCAAGCTTCCTGCGTGTGCGTTTTTGCCTCAAACTTGTATCTTACTATAGCTTGCATAAAAACAAAAACGTATAACACAAAAAATGTAGCTTGTAATCTCACGATTCCAATGATATAAAATTTGTAAACTAACTCTCAAAGATCAGAGAGAATTTTATCAGCCCTAAATCATGACCTAATTATTTCAGCAACTTCAAGGTTCAAATTCTCTTAGCTCAGTTAACATAAATGAAAAGTATGCATATGTACAACTTCACCATGTTAAGGACTATATTTTTGCTTCACAAATCGTGGCTTGAGGATGCCTAAATAGAGAGATAAAGTTTTGAAAAATACCTCCTTCAGCTGAATTTGGATATGGCAATGTGGGGACTTTGAGTGAGGCCTGAGGATCGTGTGAGCTTCCTTGAAGTTCCTTCAAGCTATTCCAATGCTTATGGTGCTTTGTGGATGGCCAGAACTCTCTGTAGAAGTCAAGTTGCAACCTCCAAACTTGAAAATGGTGATGGATGAAACAGGGGTTACAACAACAATGTAAAGGCTTGGATAGCTTTTATATGATGTGGATGAAGTGTTTCAAAGGTTAAAAGGCAAAACGCACGAGCCAAAATAAAGTTGGCAAGAGTTTTGTAGAACTACAATGTTTTGGCAGAAAAATGTGTTTTTTGAGCTTGAGAGTGTTTTGGATACTATCAATTTGTGTCTTGACCTTGTAATGAATTTGTGTATTTGTATAGAATGATACAAAGTCCACTCTTCCCCTGTTGTACAAGTTCTGAACTTTTGGCCAACTTTCTTGCATTTTAAGAAAAGTGAGAAGTGACTATGCAAACATGCTTGTACTGCTTGCTTGTGAGGTGGAAAAGGCTTGTACAAGTTGCTCAAGACCTGTGGAAATTTCCTGCACCAAAGGGACAGCTCCAAGGCTCAAGAATTGTAAAGTTGCCAAAAGCTTGCTTTATGAAAATGGCAATGTGCCCTTTATGCCATTTATGGAATTACAACTTGTACAATGCTTCAAAAGTGAAAACAAAGCCTTTATCCACTGAGTTAGCATTTAATTATGGAGTGTAGAATGAGTTTAGGACCTGTAATGCAAGGTACGAGCATCCAAGATCAGATTTGCAACTTGACACTTTGTGAAAATGACATGAACAAAAGTGATAAAATGTCAATTTCTCTTCTTCGATTCTCCCTAACCATAAATGATCTTGGAGAGTTCTTGGACATTTTGGAAAGCTTTCAACATGATCTACAATCCATCTTTGAAATACAACTTGAGATACCTCTTGGAATTAGGTGAAAAGTTGCCATGAAGTTAGGTCAAAAACCTGCCTAAATTAGGGCAAAATTTCACTAAGTTATTTAGTTCATGGACCCCTATTCACAAATTTATATCTTGATATCCAAGCATCTTTTGGAAAAACTTTGTGAAGAAAAGTTGTATATTTCATGGAGGACTATAAATTTCATGTTGGAAGTTTTCTCTGAATCAAATTTCATCATGGTGAAAAAGTTGGGAAAAGTTAGGAAAAAATAAGAAAACTTTCATACTTGGAAAAATTCGAAGTTATGAAAATTTTTCAAATTAAAACCCTAATTTGCAAATTTGATTTTCTTGATGAACAAGTTTCATGTTTTGACATATATTGATGAATTATGACCCTTGGCACTTGATTTTGACCAAAAAGTCAAAGTTTGACTTTTTAGTGTACAATTGATTTTTGATTAGTTGACTGGAAAATTCATCTGTCAATCCTATGTACTTGAGATATTTTGAACCATGTAATTAGGTCAAGATGATGCCATTGGATCCTTGAAACCATGCTTGAACTCAATTGGCCATTGGCTAGGTTGAAAATAAAAAATTGCCCTTCCTCAGTCAAAACCCTAATTTTGACCATTTTGCCCTTTTGATGATCTGATAATTTCTTGAGGAGTTGTGATCCAAAATTGATCAAATGGTTCATATGAGTCTAAAATGTTGATGTGGGTCAAAAATTATGAGGTTTGACTGTAAATTGGCCATGGTTGACTTTTTCCCCAATACAGCTGATTTTTAGGTCAATTGTCCAATTGACTGGTCAAAAATGTGATTCAAGGCTTGAAACTTGGTATGAGCAATCTTAAGGGTCCAACATGATGTATGAAAGTCACATGAAGCATTAGTGGTCCAAAAATCCTTGTGCAAACTCAAACCCTAATTTCAGGCTATTAGTGCAAGATGAGGTGTCTTGAGCTGACCAAACCCTAATCTTGTCTTGAGTCCCAGAAGTCTTGTGAGAAAAATCTTGATATATGAGAGGGCAAATTTTGGGGTACAACACATATGGTTGTTGAGATTGAACATGAATTATTGTTGTCAAAAGGAAATATTTGGTAGTTCTGTGGGAACTATTGGCTTGTCCTAAACCTAGACAGGGTTTGAAAGCTTAGAGAACGGGATTTTGATGTGTTATTGGTTTAGAGAATGAACCCGATTTAAAGTAAAAATTAAAAAAAATGATAACAAGAGATTGGTACCACATGCATGAGTTGCATTAGAGTCTTGAATTGAGTCACATGGTATTTTATGTCATAATACGAGGTTATGTGAAATTGTGAATTGTTGGATATACTTGTGAATAGTATGAGAGTTGGGTGAGGTTGTGGTTATAAAATATTGAAGTGTGAGAATAATTTCTTGTATGCATGTATGTCTTACATTATGCATTATTTATGATTTTGACAATTATGTGAATTCTCATCCTTCTGTTAGAATGATGTTTTATACGGCACCACTCAAATATAAAAGATTAGAGTCGCTTTAGCAAGAGTGAAGCTGAAGAAGCTATCTTTATTTTATACTACAATTGGGTTTGATTCGTGCTCTGGTCATGTAACACTAGAGAAATGTTCAATTCATGTTTTGAGAGATACTTTATGTACTCTAATTTATTTTGTTAATTTAAATTGAATTTTATGGTGAAGTGGCTTTATGCCTAAGTTGATTTTATTTAAAGAGTTAATTGAGAATTGAATTATAATTGTTGAATAAAGCGAATCCGCTGCTATATGCTATGTGAAAGTGTATTAAAGCATGCATTTTATTTCAAGTGTTATTGGGCATGACATGTGTAAATATGTTATTTGGAGTATGCGTGACACCTTTGTTTGATATGCATGATAAATTACTCTGATTATATTGAATTATTCCACAAAGTTTAGAAGGGTGTTGCACTAGTCCCGTACTTGTGTTGAGGAAACAACTTGACGTTTGACAGATAACTGGAAGAAAGAAACATCTGGGAATGAGATCCAGGGCAACCTGGATGCATGCATGATGCAAAGGATGAAAATTATATGTAATGTTATGTAATGCGAAGCACTGCAACAGGATCACATGTTCAAAAGTTTGACAGTAAATCAGAACACAAAATAACCAAGTACCATGAGAATCAACATCTGCACCTATAAGAATAATTCCCACCCCATGTCACGGGTAAAATCTGACTTGGGTAAGGTCAAAATGTCCACAGAGTCATAAGTCCACATGGAAACATATCATTGTAACAGAGGTATGTATGATGATAATATCCCCAAATGAACCTCATTTGCGCGTGGTACTTCATGATTGCACTAGTAAGGCCTACACCGCACAGGCGACATGAACATCCACTCTAGTTCTATGTATTCCTATGGGTTTACAACTTTGACCTGTGTATTTGGTCTTTTAACTCAAATAACATCCCACTCCACCTGAAAAGTAGAAAATCCAACAACCAACACAACATATATCCAGAATAATTGAAAGCAATAAAATGCAAAACATACAATAAATAAACAACAAATAAAGCAAATAGATAAACACTTAAAGAAAAAGAGCAAACAAAGCTAGGATTGCCCACTTGGAGAAGAGTCCCCAGTGAAGTCTCCAATCGTCGCATCTAGCGGTAAAAATTTGAGACTAAGCCATTAATTGATTTAACTCACAAAGTGAAAGTTGTCATTGCATTTTATTGTTTCCAAAAAGAATTGGGAAAAGAGCGAATAAAATCCAAAATAAAATAGAGATCAAGGTACAAAGGTCGATTATACAAATGGAAGGTATTACCACCCTAAACATCTATTGTATCCAACAGGATCCACTATGTTTATTCTAATTAAAATGTGTGTATATCTAAAGACTTACTTGCTAAAGAGAATGCATGAATGAATTATTAACAATAAAAAGATTTTTTTTAATTATTGCGCTCGTCTCGGTTTTAAAACCTCGTGTCTACGTATCTCGAAAGAATCAAAACACTGTAGTTCTTCTAACAAAGAACAAAAACTCTGTAAATTAGTTATTTTAAATGAAGAGACAATTCATTATTTTTAGGAGAAAAATCTAAACTAATCCTCTACAAAGTATGAGAATGAGGGACAATGCATCAACATGATGAAGAGTTTGGAAACACCTCTAGTATTCAAGTAGAAAAGTAGATATCTTTACAACCACGAGGATAGAAGAATGACATCTCGAGTATAAATGACTCATATCTAATCTTGAAAAAGGCTTTAAAAGATAAAAGATGCACAGGGGCATAAAAATATTTGAATGAAGTTGAATATTTTTTAATATTTTAAAAGAAAAAAAATTTGTGAATTGTACCACATTAAAGACTATAAATATAGAGATGAGACTTAATAACTTTAATATATAAAATTACTAAAACAACTTTAATTTTGTCTTCAAAAGTTGCTTAAGAGACCTAACCATTTTAATATATAAGATTTGCGTGTGGTCAATTAATTAACCGGGTTTCCATATATAAAGGGTAAAACGGGAATGAATTAGGTCGAGATGGATGAATTGGAACGTGGGAGCAAACTGAGTGAAGAATAGCGTAGGAAAAAAAAAGATGCGGCCAAACGCCGCCGGTAACGGCAACGATGACCGATGGGGAACTGCCGGGCCGGCGATTCGCAAGAAAGGAACGAGTGTTCGTGCATGGCTGGTTGTCGACGTTACCGGAGACGCACAAGTGGTTGAGGCCGGAAAACACGCCATCATGAGACGAACTGGGCTCCCCGCGCGTGACCTTCGAATCCTCGATCCCCTCCTTTCCTATCCGTCCACCGTTCTCGGACGAGAGAGAGCAATCGTCATCAATTTGGAACACATCAAAGCGATTATCACCGCAAACGAAGTTCTTCTTCTCAATTCAAGAGATCCTTCCGTTACTCCTTTCGTTCAGGAGCTTCAAGCGAGGATCCTCCGTCATCACGACGCGACCACTAATCCTCAAGAGGATTCTCACGGCGGCGGAATTAAGATTCTTCCGTTCGAATTTGTTGCGCTTGAGGCGTGTCTTGAAGCGGCTTGTAGCGTTTTGGAGAATGAAGCGAAGACCTTGGAGCAAGAGGCGCATCCTGCTCTTGATAAATTGACGTCGTAGATTAGTACTCTTAATTTGGAGCGTGTGAGGCAAATTAAGAGCCGTTTGGTTGCGATAACGGGGAGGGTTCAAAAGGTGAGAGATGAATTGGAACATTTGCTTGATGATGATGAGGATATGGCTGAAATGTATCTTACTGAAAAGATACTTCAACAGCAGTTGGAACAAACGTCTTCTGAGGAAGATATTGATGCTCATGATGATGATGATGATAATGATATTGATAGAGCACAAGGTGTTGAAATATCTTTGGAAGAGGGAGTAGGAGGAGGGGCAGGTTATGAGGATGAGGATCATCAAAATCAGAATGTGGGAGAACATATGTTTGGTGCTACAAATCAAATTGGTAGGGATAGCCGCGGTGGAACACGGGCGAGCACTACTTACAGTGCCATCACCAATAAGCTTGATGTTGAGGAGCTTGAGATGCTGTTGGAAGCATACTTTGTTCAGATTGATGGAACTCTCAACAAGCTTTCCACGGTATCCTTGCTATGTCCCATTTCCTTGTTCTGTACTTTGTTTTATCTTTGTTTTGTTAACAAAATAACAGATACAAATTCAATAGTTCAATTCAACAACTTAAAACACAAATGCAAATGCACTAGTTACAATTTTATGCTTTTTGATCTAGTTGGGTAGAGTAGCTTAATGAATACTATGTCGTAGTCACACACAATATTTGAGGAGCAAAGCACTGTTTCCATCTCAAATAATGACTCAAATTAGATCACTTTCTAGTTTGTTTTTGAGGGCTTGGATTGATTGTGGTTTATCTAGTTTTGCTTGCAAAACACCAGTATTAGACAGTTATAAAATACTCGCTACAGCTCTGGGAGGCTTAAGGAGTCTCATAGCTGGGTATAATCTCCTCAAATGTACTCGGCCCGGTATCCTGCATTCAGAATGATGCAACATAACACATGTCTTATATCACCCAAAAGAGTATTGGGGCCAGGTACTCCTTACCCCTACCCAAGCCGAACAACCTAAAAAATTCTGCTAGAGTACAGTTGTATAGCTATGGGAACAGAAGGGGGGCATATTAGGAGAAAGAACTGAGGAGGAAACCTAAGTCATTCATCCATATTTAACCCTAAATACTTGACCTTGAGCATGACACATTGTCGGCAGAGGTCCTAAATATTCCACACGGAAATAAGTTAAATATCATGGGATTTAGGATACCTAGTTTATATAAATGCTATTGATTTTCTATCTAATAGGGTTATCATATATGTTTGTTTGAAAAATTATAGTCTACTATAGATATAGAGTTGATCTCTCTGTTGCTGACACCTTGTTATTTGTCGGTTGTCGTGTTGAAGTTGAGGGAGTACGTCGATGACACAGAGGATTACATCAACATTATGCTGGATGACAAACAGAACCATCTCCTCCAAATGGGAGTCATGTTGACCACGGCAACCCTGGTAGTGAGTGCCTTTGTTGTTGTGGCTGGTGTTTTTGGCATGAATATTCATATTGATCTGTTTGATGATAAGCTCTATGGGATGAGAGAGTTTATGTGGACTGTTGGTGGCGGCACTGCTGGAACCATATTCTTGTATGTGGTTGCCATTGCCTGGTGCAAGTATAAACGCTTGCTAGAATAAGGCGCACTCCATTGTGTTCCATACAATAATGTAATTTAATTGGAAAATCAACTTTTTTGTATGTTGTGTAGAATTTTAATAGACTTTTTTTTCCTGTACATTATTGTATGGACAAAGTCTGCAACAACATTGGTTTTAGGCAACACTTGCTGCCAGTCCTGTAATTTTCACAAAGATTTCCTGAGATTCACAGATTTGTCATCATATTTACTCTTAAGGTTGTTTTTTGTGTTCTTCGTACCAATTTCTTTCTGTGTGTATAGGAAAAGTTTCCTGAAACAATATTTAGGCATTGTAGATCTTTATTATGTTCTACTAGCTGGTGCTTTTTTTAATTGCTCCTCTGCGTCATAAATTTTGGGAGCCTGGCATTATGAATATTCTTTATGTCCTTGGGTATTATCCTTGTTTATTTAAGGCTTTATTGGTTTTTATTTTGTGAACAATGGTGCATTAGTTTTGACTGGGCAAACCTTTGCCAAACAATTTTGTTGCATTTTATCTTATGCTTCTGAGGAATAAGTCCATATGTTACGGTAGACACCAGTAAGAGATCCGTGGTGCCGCATAGGAATTCAAATATTTGATATAGTATATTTTGAATGATATAAATAATATATTTAAATGCTGCTCATAATTATTTTAGTAATGATTATGTAAATTAACTATACATGAAAAAAAAAAAATTATGCAAATGTCAAATTTTAGATATAAATGCAAAATTTGAAATGATTTACTTAATTGTAAAATGAACAATATTTATATAGATATAATTATATTAAATAATCGTACAAAATTAAGGGAAAAAAAACCGTGAAAGAGAAAAAAACAATATTTATAAATAAATATTTTATTTCTAAAAAAAAAGTTAATTTAAATAAAATAGATTATTCGGTAGTGACGTTTAAGATAAAAAGTTAAAATATAGAGATGTAATGATTTTAATAATGTAAAGTTTCTCTACATTAGCAAATTCATATAGTCTCTATTTTCAAGTCTTAGTTTCTCTGCATTAGCAATTTCATAGTCAGTTGGAGCAAAACAAAAGTTGTTTTCACAAAATCATAAGTGAACATATTACATCTTATAACAAAAGTGCATATACGACATTTCATTACACAAAACCCATAATCCAGCATATACGACATTTCATTACGCAAAACCCATAGTCGAGAAAGTAAATTTGAATGAAAAAAGATAGTAAATTTGAATGAAAAAAAGAAGCATTCCACTCACCTCACTTCACATTTCATATTACACAAGATTGGACCATAAAGCTTGGATATTGAAATATCGAGAGACTTGAGATTATTGTTTGATTTGTTAGTCACAATTGTTGAATATCTATAGTAAGTTATTCCATTTGCAACCATGAGTGGGTCATTTTCTGTTCGACAGGAAATTGGACCCCGCCGTGAAGCTGAAAAAACTGAAGTTCTTTAATTAGACTTTGAAAAATATAAGTATTATAAGATAGTTACATAAATCATATGCTAACATTACCCGGGGATGGAGTTATATTGGGTTTGGTGAATGAATGTTGCCTGGTAACAATAGGCTTTGGAGCTGTAACAACAACTGCGAGGAAGAAAAACACAGCGATTAGTTTTACTATTACCAGAAAATCTGTTTATCATGAGTGTGAGGCAAATAATGATGACAATTCCTGGAAGGAGCTGGTTATAACCACCATGACCACCACCGAGCCGAGCAAGAACGCCAAGGTAATCCAAGTAATATTGGTTGTTAGATGCTTGATACAACCATGCAGCAGCCCAGAGCAAATCATCCTGTACATACAATTACCAACTTTTAATCATGAATATGCATTTCAAATTTTGAAATGTAAATTTTTTTATATTGATCCACAATTAAATTTAACCCGAAAATCTCACATTGTAGCAACTGATAGATCTATATTACTTCTGCTGCTGCTGATTTAGAAGCATGTCACCAAATGCCCAATAAACTGCTGTTGCTGATGGAAGGTTCAGTGTCAGAAGATAAAGGGTAAGCCAGGAATGATTAATATTGACTACCAGTTTGAGGTAAAGTATTGGAGAGAATTTAGTGAAGAATTAGCATTAAATGTGATTAGCGAGGCTCGTAAACATTGTAGCCAACCTTTTGTTAAATGTAATTTGGCGCATGGAATCTGAAAAGTAGAAGAAGTGAAGGCTTATTTCGTACAAAGTGTAGTGTAAAATAATTTTGAGGGTTTTAGTAATAGTTAGATAGTAGATGATTCAAGAATGCATAAACCGGTTATTTCTGGCATCTAACTGCCACATAGTGTTATGGTGACATTGAATTACTTTCTTTAACCGCGTCTTGTAAATTCTAATTGACTTTGAATTGACCTTAGATTTGCATCACATTCTTCAATAGTAAGTTGAACCTAAAGTCTTCAATCTTCATTGACTTATCCATCCCATTCTTCATGGTTCCTTCTTTTTTTCTTTCTGATACATTTTCTCTTTGGATATCATGATGCAAATGTAGTTTTTATCTTGGAAGATGTGTCACTTGTAACATAAAGCAATTCCATTGGATCAAAATGACTTGTTCTAGGAGCAAAGAATATTTAGGCAGATTTAGGCCTGAAAGCAACTCATTAACAGCATCAACAAAGATCATAACTGAACAACTAGAAGTTTTGTTAGTGTGGCCAAACATTACTTTTAGGTAGGTTTAACACTGCATCCTTCCTTGGATCACATATGAGCATCTAAAGTCAAGTTTCTTTGTTCACACCAGATACTCAAATTGAAACTGTGGTTGTAGTTTGTACTCCAAGAATTTCTGGTGCATTACTTCTCTGGCACTATGTGTGACTTTGGACCACTTTGAAATCAAGGTAACTTAAGAAAGGGACTATGCTTTAAAAATTGAATTTCCTTTAGGGTTCAGGATGCACATGAATATCTTTATGAAATGCTATTAAACAGTAAAAATTCGTTAGGAGATTCCAAAATAAGAGAAGGAAATAAAGTTTGTTTGAATTATCAGTTTTGCTTTTTGTATAGATGGTTGGTTTGGCTGTGATTATAAAGGCATGAAAATGTTGCTTTTAGTATAGATTCTTATCCAGTTTGATGGAATGCAGCTGGAACACTTACTGTCCACAAGTTTATTAGTTTGATTTGTCTTTAGCTTAGCCTCCTCTATTAATTTTATTTTACCAACATTGCCTAACTTCAATTGCATATATAACAAAACCACATCCTTAATTCTCAATGAGCATATTTTCTTTCAGCTTTTTCAACCTTTTCCGGCTAAACAATAGTTTTTTAATCTGAATAGGAACTTAGTGGGAATAATTAAGTAATAATTCAGAGGAAGACACATAATTGTGCCATGACATCAAATTATGTGACAACTACCAAGCAGACAGACTTGAAGGGACCAAACCTATATTAAAAAAGAACATTGCTTATAATTAATATTTTTAAATGAGGATCCTTCCAAATGAGATAAAGTTGGCATACTAAACAAAATGGGGCATGTTCCTCTGGGTCAGGAAGATCTCCTGAGCCTAGATTGCATATATGAAATATTCCAACATCAATATTGACATTTCCTTCTCATCTTTCTACATTCTCCATACCTTGTACCCTTTATCACTTTTTGTTCTTTTAGAAATCACTAGTACTTTCAGAATGGATTGAACTTTGTCAGGTATCTTCCATATCTGCTAAAATGCCTTATCCGTTGTGACGATGCGACCATTTGGGTCTGGATCCTCTCCAATGACGGGAGGGCACAGCGTGGATCCTCACTGTTCCAAACCATATTAGATATTTTTGGGTTATTTCATTTGTTAATTATTGGATCTCCTTAATTAGACCTAAAGAATTTTGAGATGTGCATGCATGTGTAAGATTTGATTACTAATTTTGTGAGATTGAAATAGATCTCTGCCAGCTTCTGCACCACATTCTTGTTGCTTAGAACATACTTAACTTAACAAGATTATTATTTTGTTGCTAGCTAGCTAAGATCTAATTCTAAACTAAACAAAAAGACTGAGGAACATGTTGTCATTGTCAACCCCAAGAATGCAACAGAATTTTACATTTCCAACGCACTGAAAGCATCTACCTCTGCTATGCCATATGCTACCATGAATTTTGAATACAGTATCAAGATCTGCATCTATAGCTTTTAATGTGGAAAAATTGTATGCATTCCATCAAAAACAATGATTGAACATGTTTATGTTTATACAGAACCTATTGCCTAACTTACTATTCTGTCCTATCTTGTGTACACTATTCAATTCATCCACAGCAGAATTAAATTATAGAAGAAAATAAAAAATATAGGTTTCTAAATTTTCCTTTTATATAGTTTTCCATTGCACTGCAACCAAAATACAGAAAAGAGAAAGAAACATAATAGTCCCTTTTGAGATTAAATTCTTTCTTCACTATCAAAAATATCACTTCTCTGCCTTCCATTGATCTTCATCATTCAGTAGCTTTCACAGCGACAAGTTCAACGGAAGAGAAACCATTAGTGTGAAATTGAACTGCATGTTCTTTATATCATTCCCATCTCTTTCGCTCCTAACCATTTTCTGAACACAGAATGCAAATGAATATGATTACAATTGGTATCATAATTTAACTACTCAAACTTTAATTTCTTTCATTGTAAAGAAGAAAAAGCATTGCTTACTTGTTGATATGAGCTTCATTTTGTGATAGAGATGATTGTAAGAAACCAAAGTGGTCTTGAAATGAAGATCTCTCCTGAAATAGCAGAAATGACTTCTAATCAAATAAGTGTAACCTTTAAAGGAAAGAAAGAAACAAAGAATAAAGACACATACATACCTCAAAATAAGTAGCAGAAAAACCTTGTGAGTAATCTAGCACACTCTCTATGGTTGAAGTTGTTTGTTGGTTATTCATAGTAACAACATTGTTATTGTCAAAGAGAGGAGAGCTAGCAGTGTCATCAAGGTGCTGCTGAATATTATTTTCTTTAACTTTCTG